ATAGAATATGCAACCATAGGAGTTTTGTTTGCACGAATTTTTCACTTTGCAAATAGCCATGGAGAATCATTTATGGGCATTATTAATGAATTTTTCGTTCAACTTCACAACTACACACCAACAAATTACAATAATGTAACTTCCGAACAAGTCTACTTTGCACAAGTAAACATTGGCATATTTGTTAATGAATTCAATCAGAAGAACATGGACGATATTAAAATTCATAATGATCAACTAATAATGGACACTCATGGATCGTTCGAGCCTCTTGATACACAAGTTGCTCATTTACCTAATTTTTATAAATCAATCTACGAGTTTAATGTTCTGCAAGGAGGAATATTTGAACGATTGTTTGTTTAATTTTTGAAATACAGGAGTTTGCGAAATATTTTAAGTTGATGCAAATTTATAATTTGCCTGAGATTATAATTTAGCCGGCAAATTTAAAATTCATTGGGGAATTCGTATCTCGAAAACTTTAGGGAGGATCGTACTACGTTTGCGGATCAGACATTTTCTATTAAGTTTTAAAATGACCCTAAACTCTCAAATTTAATTGAGGCTAAATTTCTTATATTTATTCCTGCAGTCATTCAAATTAGGGTCAAGTGAGGCTCCGAAGAGCACTGAAAATTGAGGAAATGAAACAAATATAACGTATTTTCTCGATTAATTCCTCAACCTCGAATAATTCCCCTCCCCAAAATACTTCCCCTCCTTTTAATAATTCTCCTATCAATAATACCCCCATGCAGGTTTATATGGTTCAGTGCTGGGAGATATATATACATAATATATATATATTATGTATATAAAATAGTATATAAAGTAACAAAGAAGACTTAACGTCAAAGCTTCATGAAGTTTTTTAAATTCAACAAAAATTAAATTTTTAATAGTAAAATATTCAAACCACGAACATAACAGATTGAAATCTATAAATTATTAGGTCAAAACGCAGTTATCACATGGATCAAGAATATCACGATAATAGATGGAGACAAGCTGAGCAGAGAAGGATGGCAATGGCTCTTTATACAATTCAAGGATTAGCTCATTTGTTTCATGTTGTGTGGTCTATAGCTCAAAACGTACTTTTTGAAAAGAAATGTCAATATTATGGTCAACACGGAATTTTCTTTGTGGAGGTTGACTTGAACCTTCCATAATTAGATATATTAAAAAATTTCTAGGGTGTAGGAAATGAAAATGAAGATTGGCTTAAATTTGCAACAAGACAAAGTAAGGGATAAAGGGATTTACAGGGATTAATGTGGATATCGATGGATTAAGTTGTAAAGAAATTAAAAATTAATGTTGATCAAAAGTTTGTAACTCTTCAGAGTTAATAGGTCTCACTGTGTATTTGTCATAAGGGTAGTATCCCATCTTGGGAACTTCTGATTTTTAGGTCTCGTTTTTCTGTCTCAGTCTCGGACTAAATTCTCTCTTTTGGTGAATTTTAATTACCGGGAGAACAATGGCCACCTTGCCATTTTGAAACATTTTGTCTATTTATCATCAAATGTTGGAAAGTCCTCATTGATTAGAAAAGTGAACCCTATGTCCTCATGTTCCTTTATATTCTTGTTCAAGTGATCAAAGCGTTAGAACCCCTCATTTCCTATAACTCCAAACTTGATTAGAAAAAATAATAAAATCTCTTGAAAATTTTTAAGGTCAATCAACATTCGGAGGGGAACGTGGTGGTATAGAAGGCCATATGGGACATGGACAATATATTAGACCATGTAACGATAATTGGATAACATTTTATTTGGCAAGAAACTATGGAGAATTTGAATATTCCTTGGCTGAAATAATGCCTCCTCGACGTCCAAGTTATTTTCTAAAATACCGTATTTTCAAAGTGGTATCACATCTCGGTATAAAGCTTTCCTCTACCTTGTCGAATTCTACTCCCTTTCCTTTTCTCCTTTACAGTATGATTTAACTGACAAAAATGTTATATAAAAATGTTTCAAAAAATAAAAATTGTTTAAGCACATGCTTACGCACCTCAATATACAGGTAATTTTAATTTATACAGTTAAATAGAGAGATAAGTTATATAGTTACGTGGAATAATTGTGGATTTGTGTTCCCATATGTAGGAGCTGAGAGCGTTTGGATTAAATTTAAATACGATTGAACACTCGTACGATCACTAGGATGATTTACACATGGAGATAGGGAAAATTTCCCCTTTTTATTGCTTTCCTTTGGTTTAAATAGTCAGACTCATTGTGTCGAATGAGGTATTGCACAATAGAAAGAGAACAATCCCATTTTTAAATAATTTGTAATAACTTTAAAGGAGAATCATCATACGTCCAAGCTGGTACATCATTGGCAACACCTGTTTTTTCTCCTTTACATGAAATTAGTAAGTTTTTTGTGCTTTAACTAATAACATTGGTCCTAGCTTTATGCATGCATTTTCACGTCATTTATAGGAATGGCCTGTATAGAGATCCCGGTATAATATATTTATACGGGATATCATTAGACATGGTCATGGATACGGATATGGATAAGATAATATCAAAATGCCTGCGGATATCCGCCTGTATCCGCCGTAAATACGCGGATACGGATACCAAGATCAGTATCCGTGACCATGCTTTGTTATCACTCCCAATATAAAAGTTTCAAAACGAAATATTGCAATTGAGGCTTTACGGTCGAATACACTTTATATTATATCAAACAATTGTTCGTCTTATAATATTAAGCTATAAATAAATGTATTTAGGTGAAATCCCTGGTCAGCCTTCATATTTGGGCACTCCACAACATTTCCAGTCACCACATTATACTCCTCAACATTTCGGTACACCTTATCATACACCTCAGCATGCCGGTACATCTCAGGCTACTCCGCAATATGGTGGGCAAGTACAAAAAGGTAACTGTTAGTATGGGTTTATTATTAAAGCACACAGTAGAGATCCGTCAAGGTCGCCATCTGAGCCGCCTGTCTCATTGTGTTATTCCCCGCTACCTAGGACATAACACTATCCAACATGCTTTAGATATTTAATAAAATAGTGACGAACAATTGAAATATTGCAAAACGATAAATGTTACTAAAAATAATAGCATAAGAAAAATAGTTTATCCAAAGTCCCAATTCAATGTCCATATAATTAATCCTCTTCTTTTATTCTATCCTTATCAAAACACTACCCATTTAATTATAGTTAAATGGAAATAAATATTTATGAATTAGCTTTTAATTATTCAATTTAGTCCTCTGCACCTCCTCTTCCCAAATTTCCCCACAAACATACGGGGCTCTGAAGTTGCCTGGACCGGGAAGGTCCAGCGCATAACTTCACATTGACAGAATAATTTGAGAGATTTTATATTTATCCAATACTCAACAATATAAATTAATTTTTAAAATTTTACAGTTAGAAAACAAAAGAAAGGCTTTTTATCCTCAATCTTCTCCTGTTTTAACCCAAAAACAAAAGATGATCGTCGCCGCAAACGTTCAATTTCAAACATATTTGTGGATAAAATTGTACGTCAGAAACGTATGCAATATGCCGGTCCAAGTAGTTCGAGCACAGCATCACACGGTTCAGGCTTGACAGTAACAGATTGTGGACATTGGTTAGCTCCAATATGGTTTGGCTTTAACCTCATGTTGTTCATCCTTGGCTGGATGTTATTGGCTATTCAATATTATCCAATGTTCTGAAGATATTTAAAGAAATGAGTTGTTGAAAAGATTTTTTGATTCATACTTTTTATTTCGGGAGTATTTCCTAAAGAAATGGCGTTCTAATATACATACAATATCGCAATCTTAATATCCGAAAATGTACGGAATTTTACATGCTTAGGCTTGGACTGAACGGACTATAAGGAGTAAAGAGAATCATTAGCCGTGGCCGCGGTAGCTCAATGTTAGAGCGCCTGTACATAAAACTATTTTTTATAGCCGGTTTTGCGTTCCCATTTTTGTAATCTTTTCGTTCTCTAGGAAAAAGGTGGATACTTTTCAGATATTTTAGAGCTTTGCTAGTAGGCAGGGTCGGAACAGTCAAAGGTGTCAGAAATCGGAAGAGACGGAAATCGGAATTCAGACCCACCTCTGCTAGTAGGTAATCGAATGTGTTAGTCATAATATGTGTTCAACTTTTATTATTCCAAACCACGACACGAGTTCGGGTTGTCATTTTATGCGAGGCTTAACTTTTTGTTTCCATTTTCTAAACTGAATTCGGGCTTGTCGATTCGGACCCTGATTCGAACTACATAAAATTTGAAATTATATTCATAACCACTATAAACGATTGTAAGTATATTGATAGTAGTGCGGACCGGGCCGGATTTTCCTCAGTCCTGGTCCAAATCCTTATTTTATATTTTTCGATTTTTACCGGATCGGAATAATCCGGAAAAATAAGGTCGATCCGGTTCGGTTCAAGTTACATAAAGTGCAAAACAAAACCGACTATTACCTTTAATTTTCCAAAAATTTTTGGTGCGTGGTTGGGCATTTAACTCTAAACTCATATTTATTAACCGATGATGAGATGATACCCTATTAAGCCTTTTCTCTAATTTATTTTTATGTTCTTTGATATCCCATGTTTCTTTTATTCATAATAGGATCTCACTTGTGTTTACCTAGAGAGAAGTTATATAGGAGGACTAGCATGGTATGGTATAGATTAGCATGGTATATGCAACATAAATTACCGCTTTCTGGGTTGCTGCAAGTAACCGACCAAATTTAAAAATTGAATGAGAGGAATAACAGGTTTTTGTAGGCAAAAGTGAGATCCAACAACTCGTCTGGGGTTTTTTGTTCCAGTGCTGACATTTTCTTGGCCAAACTGGAACTTTTTTCTCCCCGGGCATCTATCCTCTTTCATTTTTAATTACTTTTAATTATTTATTTTGATACAATGTTTCTATAAGATTGGTTTGCTAAATTATTTTTATATTTTTAAACTTGTTTCGATATATTTTAAGCAAAGATTTTTAAATTAATGGATGTTATGAATGCCAGTCTTAGTAGTATGGTATGTAGTGAATCAATTTCTAGTAGGATGGTTGTTGAGTATGGCCAACAAGCCCTTAAAGAGTTTAGTATAAAAGCCAGCCAATAGTTAGTTCTTTATCATAGAAACGATGTATACCAAACCATGACTCAAGGTCATTCCACTCGACAAATCAAAAACAAACCCACCGATCATTCCAACAAATTTACTGTACAACTCGTTATCGTTCAATTCACTTGGCTTCAACAGTCTAATTAACATCTTCTCAAACTGCTCTTGCTGAGCTTTCAACAATTTCTCGACTGCTTTTGCGTCCATTTTTCACAAACTTAAATAATACTTTTATTACACTTCACTTAACACTACAATACTTCACTAACCTTTTAGGTTGTTCACCCACTGGAATTTAATCCACACTTTATACTTGCCGAATTGCACACTGCTGTTGACGATTTTCTTTTTGTAGCTGTTGACGTGTCAAGGTTCTTCGGTCCAATAGGAAAGGCTCCTATAGGAAAGATAGAATAACGTTTGTATGAAGATTGCATCCGATTTTTAAAAATTAACGCAAAACTAAAAATATAAAGTTTTCTCTTGTTGAATATAATGTTTTCTTCCATTGCTGCTATTAAGAGTATTATTGATAGATTTGTCGGTTAATAGTGATATCGAAAATTTGAGGTGATCAAGAGAGATATCAGGGGATTCAGAAGATAACGGGGATTTGCCTTTCTTTAAAATTCCACTTCAGCTCATACTCAAGAGGATTCATTATTTATGTTTCAACTTGAATATGTAACTAATTTGGTGAAAATGTACTGATCCATAACGGAATCTTTCAACATTTCATTCTGCCCAATTTATCTCGGAAATTTTTTCTTTAAACCGTTTTACGGAAGCATTTATGTTATTTAACAATTAATAATTTAAAAATAAATTTTTTTAATTTTTGCCAATCAATTTTTAATATACTATAGCTAGCGGATTTATCCCTTTCAAGTCATGCCCTTCTTAAAAATTTAAAAATAAATTTACAACGATAAATCGATTCAAACGATTCCCCTCTAAATTTAAATTTATAAATTTTTATAAGTCTGTCCTCCCCAATCGTTTAAATTTGTACTGTGAATCATTGCTAAGAAAATTCCCCATTATATGCCTAGAGTTAATTCTCTCTAATTCACCCTATCTCTCATTGCCTCTCTCCGCAAGGCTATACTAACCCTCATTAAAGAGTCATGTGCAGTGCTAGGAAATTTCAAAAATGCTCATACTCGTACTTTGTACCTGTCAAAGTCTTTGTACTTCCCGTACTTTGTACCTGACGACTCAAGTATAGACTCCTCCCTCTAAAATTAAAAAAGGGGAGTCTCTTTATTCTAGTATATTAAATAGCTGTAAACACTCATTTTGCCTTCATTTAAATTATAAAGCCTCTTGAGTAAATGCCTTTACATATGTTGTCCAAACAATTAGCAAAGAGAATAAGCTCTTACCTTTTCTTGCGTTTATGCGCTAAGAGTACCGCTGAGAGGGAGTTATAATTAAAATTAATTATAATAAGGTAGAATTCTCTCCCTAATTCTCTACCTCGTGTCCGGACAATGCGTCAGTGGACAATGCGTGAGTGGAAAATGCGTCAGTGGACAATCGGTCAGTATTGATAAAAAGTGATTAAAAGTGATGATGTGAAGGGATAAAAAGTGATATAAAAGGACTAAAGATGGGATATAAACAGATTAGAAGTATTTAAAAGGGATTTTGGGGGTTTAAAAGAGATATAGAGGAATTTATTGGGATTAAGGCCGATATCACGGGTTTGAGAGGATTAACAGAGATATTAAGTTATTTGGTTGTATCAAGATGGAGATCATTCGATTTGGAGAGATATCATTAGATTTTTATCTCTTTATATCAACACTTTTAATCACTTTATATGATCACTGACCGATTGTCCACTGACGCATTTTCCACTCACGCATTGTCCACTGACGCATTGTCCGGGAGCCCTCTACCTCATCCAGTCTTTAAATTCAAGTTTTCATTCATATTTATTATTGTATTATTCATGGATTTTTGGCGTTCCCTATTTTTACTGTTTAGCTTCATCAGGAGATACAAGGTATCCCACTCCAGTCATATTTATTTGAATTGGCCAAAATATGGCTTAATAAGCTGTATTTTCAATTATCCTTTAGACAGGGTCAGTATTATTAAGTGGGGTTTGGTGTACAGCCCTATACGTTTGGCAAGCCCATTGCCAAATTCTATGGGCCTTCGTCGCTAGTATCTTTTTGATGAGGGTTTTGCCTGAAGCCTTTGTGCCGATAACAAATTAATTAAAAAAATTTTATTTTAGAAATGAAGCTGACAAAAAGCCTTTTCATTTCAAAAGCACTTCCCCCAAAAATTCCCATCCTCACCCTAATTTTCATTTTGTTTTCCTTCAATAATTTCTGTGATTCTCAACACAATCTCAACAATTCAATACGATTACAAGTAAAGAAATTGTCGGAAAAATATTTACCGATTAAATACGACAAAAAGCAAATGGATCCATTGGAATCGCTTCAGAATTTGTTCAACGGACTTGCACTATTTAATGACCACTACCGTTTTGGTGGTATTCTTGACTAATGCAAAGAATTCTATCCAAACGTAATATATCTTGAACTCTATTATACCTCTTTTCCTATGGTATATCTCTTGAATCGTATTTTAATTTTATAGCCCGACTTCGTCCTAAAGAGTGCCTTTGAAAAAGATATGGACAGAGAGATGTTGCTGAATGTCAATAGATATGTTGAATGTATAAATGGAATAAACACAAACTATTCCAATGTGGTAGATAAAAAATATAAAAATCGTGATGGTAAAATTTTTTTTAATTTTCTGGTTAATTATAGTAAGTGTTGAGTATCTCTTGCGAACTCTTCCCCTTTTCACCTTAAAAATAAAAGATGTAGAATCTCGTTATAGTTTAATAACTTATGGGTAAGAAAAATTATATAACATCTACCCTAAGATGGATTATCTTACTTCAAAACTTTTTAATTTTTTAAAATATTCTTTCCTCAATTGTCGTAAACCTTATAAAAGCATGTGCTAAACCGACTTGTGTAAATTTGCGGTCATGATAAAGAGTTGGGACCTTTCAGTATAGCCGTTTCAAAGTAGCCGTTTTCAAAATCTCTTTCATGATTTTTTATTTTTCCTACTTCTATGGATCTAAAGATTTTAAAAGGTTAAAAACACAAGAATAATTTTTATTGACAAACTGACTAAAAGTAAATTAATGAATTTGATTAGTAAAACAAAGTGTAAAATAGAGAAGCTATAAATAAAAAATAGAATCTCGTTATGGTTTAATTCCTTATATGTAAGAAAAATTATGTAACATCTACACTATGATGGATATCAGACTCTTACTTCCATACTTTTTCAATTTTTTAAAATTTTCCTTCCTCAATTGTCGCATGATTAAATTTTCGTTATCAAATTTGTAAAGCATGTGCTAAACCGACTTATGTAAAATAGTGTGAGTATACTGTAACGAGATTCCGGAGCAGTTCAATTGAGTCCGCACGATTGAGTCCCCACGATTGAGTCCGCACGATTGAGTCCCCACGATTGAGTCCCGGCACGATTGAGTCCCCACGATTGAGTCCGCACGATTGAGTCCCCGTTGTATATACCTCAATTGAGTCCCCGTGGATTTGATTTGAGAAAAAAGATAGTAATTAAAGAACAAAATTGTACTATTATAATAATCTATTATTTCAAACAGGATGGCGGATATTTTAACTAAACGTACAAAGCCTAAACTTGTTCATGATGGATATTTATTTGTTTTTCATAAAATGAACAAAGACGAAGACATCAAGTTTTGGAGATGTGAGGCCTTCAACAAAAAAGATGTCAGATGTAAGGCTCGCCTACATAGCGACCTCAACAACTCTGTTTTGCGTGAATTAAATTATCACGTTTGCAGCGTCAACCCTGCCAATGTTCAAAAGCAAGTTGTTGTGACAGGGATTAAAAGAAGGTTTCTTCTAGCTGATTCTTCTAGCTGACCAGTTTCTTCTAGCTGATTCTTGCGTTTATACTGAAAATAATGATCCAAGACAACATAGGTTTATTGTCTTTATTTTTTTAATAGATTATTTTTAGAATCCTCATATTTGGTCGTATGTCATTTGGGGAGTGGTCAGAACAAATGGAACATGTTTTTGTTGATGGGAGCTTTAGCGTTACTCCTCCTTTATTTTATCAAATTTTTTGTGTGCTTGCAAGGTTGGTTGAAGTTAGGTTGGTTGAAGTTTCTATTTTTAATTTAGAAAACGTAAGTGGGTGTTCCCTGTGCTCTATGGGTTGCTGACGAATAAAACAAAATCGACATATGCTCGCTTTTTTCGACTCGTCAAAGAAATTTGGCCGCAGTTCAACCCACGTGTTTTCTCAACAGACTACGAAGCAGCAATTATTGGAGCTATTCAGGAGGTTTTTCCTCGTTCAGATCTGGCTGGTTGTCTGTTCCACCTGGTTAGGAATCTTAAAAAAGCAATTTGCGATGCTAATTTAATGCAGGTTGTTTTTTATTCTCATTTTCATTTGTACTTCTATTTTTCAGCGTTATAAAAATGATCCTTTGTTTGCCGCTGATGCAAAATTAATTACTTCAATAGCTTTCCTGCCTATTTGTGATATATCTTTGGGAATCATTGCTTTAGAGACCTATCTCCCACCCGAATTACAACCTGTTCTTGACTGGTTTGTTATGTATTTTACTTTTTATATAACGTTGCAGGTTTATTACAAATTATACTGGCCGTTTGCGTATGGATGGTATGCGAAACCAACCGAGGTTTGATCCAGCAAATTGGAGCGTGCATAGAAGGGTACTTGAAAGGGGGGATAGAACTAATAATTACGCAGGTTAAGATCATCTAGCATTAAAAAATGTTTACTTATTTTACAGAAGCTGCACATAAAAAACTCCAACGTGCATTCAGTTGTTCGCATCCAAATATATGGAGATTCATCGATACATTACGAAAAGAACAGAAGTTGATTGACGCGGATTATGCCATGTGTCAACAGGGAATGGAACCTCCACCTAAACGAAGAAAGTATCGTGATGCCGATAGAAGAATTCATGCGTTGGTCCAAACGTATCAGGCCGCAAATCCAAATTTTGATCACAATTATCAATTTCCAGTTGTTTATCCTATTCACCCAATTATTGATTTTTTAAGAGGTGTTTCTCATAACTATAATATGGATCCATGAATATTTATTTATTTGAAAATTTTGTTTTAGAATTAGTGACTAGTGTTTATTAGATTGAATAAAGATTTTTGATAATCTTGATAACATTTTTAATTGTGGGATTTTACAAAAT